GTCCCATCCATTTCATCCCTGAACTTTCTGCATTGCACAAAAAAAATCTGAAGGTATCTTCTACCTGGATTCAAGTGAGTGTGCTTAGGATCCTTCTAGTGATCAGGAACTCTGCATTATCAGGGGTGATTCTAAGCATGTTTGGCTACCATACAAAGAATCGCCCTTCAGACCTTCCTACCCAACATGCAAAGGAACCAGCAGGAACAGAAACACTGGCCATGGGCTGCTATATGCAGCCTTGCACTCCGAGACTCTATATTCTCACACGCTTATGAAGAACACATAAAGAAGGCTCTGGATGCCTTGAATTAAACAGAAAAGCTATTTTGGCCTCAGCCTGAAACAAGATCCCATAGATTGGGAGTAAGCCCCATTGAACTTAGTGGGACTTACTTTTGAGTGGACATAGTATAGGACTGCAGTGTTGGCAAGGCTGAAGCATATGTTCTCTGATTAACAGTGATTTGCTTTGTTCTAAGGAGCAAAAGACTCAGACTGGTAGGTTACAACTTGAGCATGTGACACAATCGACTTTTATTGTGCTTTGCTTTCCACTGAACTGCTGCTTTTTGAAGAAATGTTAGACTGCTTTGTTTTGAGTGATCTCTAAAGCCAGAGGTTAAGTTTGTGGTGTTCTGTTATGTGTATAGTTATTTGTTAATAGCTCTTATTTGATAAACACTGTGGTTTTCAAATTATGGTCTGGTAGACCCTGAATTTCCTTGAAAGCGTATTGGAGTTATTTGTAGTGCTTGAAATTCCCAAGGTGCCGGGCACATTTTGCAACTGGTGCAGGTCCAGTAGAATAGGTTATTTATTTCATTTGTATCCCAGCTTTTTCTCCAAGGAGTACATGGTTCACCCCTCTCCTCAGTTAATGCCTACAATGACCTGGTGTGATAGATTAAGAGGCTGTGATTGGCTCAAGGTCACCCAGTGAGCTTCATGACTGAATGGGGATTTGAACCGTGATCTCCCAGGACCTAGACTGACACTCTAACCACTACACCACACTGGCTGCCTAGAGTACTTCTGCTGTGGGGCTATATAATTTAAGTAGGTAGGTAAGTAAGTAAGTAAGTAAGTAAGTAAGTAAGTAAGTAAGTAAATGGGGAACAAAATGTCTCTTAGAGAAGGATCTAAAATATTTTCCTTGAAGCTTGAATTTGTTTTTATTCTGGATTGTTTTATTTGCTGTTTCAATGTATTGTGAACTGCTTTGAGTCCCCCCCCCATTAAAATATAAAGTGGTATAGAAATGAATCGAATAATAAAAATAAGAATAAGAAGAAATTCTACTGCAAAACGAAATAGCACCTAGACATTCCATTGTGATGACAGTAACCTAGCTTTAAGGTCCCATTTGGCAATTAGCTTATACACCCGAGTTTCTAACACTGGTTCATTGGTGGTGGACATGCTTCCTTGAATGAAGCTGCAGGGAAGTGTTGAGCAGGTATACTCTCAGCCGATGAGTGGCAAACAGTTGACAGGTGAGTTGCTGCTGCTTACTAGGAAAGAGAGGGAAGCAGTATCGACTCATATGTTGGGAAGATGTGAGTGCCCAGGGGTTCTTCAGCAGCAGTATTGGAAAGGGTTTTCAGAAGGTTTACAATTTCAAAACTGGGCCAATAATCTGGGTAAGGCCCAATGGAGTGAATAGATGGCCGAATAAAAGCCTTGTGTTGTTTCACTTTCTAGGATCAGATGCTCTTCATATCAAGTACATCCACTTCTGTGCTTTTACTCAATCTTTCATGCTGTTACTGTGCTTTTCAAATTATAAAACAGAATTGATTTTCTTCAGAATGGAGACATCTTGTTTCTTATAAGGATTACATTTGCTTTGCTTTCAAAGGGTAATCCCTGAAGCAGGAATTTAAAGCAATCCAAGAAACCACATTTTATGGCATATGCAGCTGGAAGTCACTGGAACAGAGACATATGTATTCATCAATAGGAAAGTGGTTTATAATCAAAAGATCCCATTGGATTGATGGCTCTGTAGCAAAGGACCTGAGGTATACCTACACCTAGTAGAAGATCTGAACTGGGCTTGAAGTGAAGGCCTATGCTGGGTGGGGATTTACACTCCTTGAAAAATTCAACATTTGGGAGTGTTGTAGGATGGCAAAGACCTTTAAAAAAACAAACCCTCCAAAAACCCCACTGCCATGCTTTTAACATGTGCTACCTGCTGTGGCAACGTATGTATTTTAAAACCGACCCATTTGTTTTATGCTCCTCTCTTGCAGCTGTTTTTAATGATTTAAGTGGTGTATTTGTTTTTATCTCATTACTTTTTAATGTGTTTTTGCATTTTTAATCTGGAAGCTGCCTTGGGCGCTGAAAGGTGGGGTAGAAATTTAATACAATAAAATAAAGGCAAGGGGTCCATTACATGACAAACTGGTTGGAAGCCATTGCACTTGATCACCCATATTTTAAATAAACATTTTGCAGATTTCACTTTTCCTACAACTATGGTAGAGAAACAAGGAAAAAATAGCAAAGGTTTCTGCTTGTTTGAATAGATATGACATGCAAAGGCAGCTTCAGGTGCTCTGAAAGTTATTTTCAAACTGCAGGTACAGAAGAGTAGCATCCAGAATGGTCTATGGATGCTCAATGAAGTTAGTCTGTAAGGCCATAGTTTGGCATGTTGCTTGGTCTACATGAAGGAGATTTAGTTAGCACAGGGATACCTATCTTTCTAACTAATTCCTATGCATGTTTCAATGGAAATAAGTCAAACTGGGGCTTATTTTCTAGTTAACCTATTATTGCAGCCTTAGTCATTAAAAATAAATAAATGACATCCAAGAAAGCGGCAGGAATTTTCAATTTCCTTTACACACAGTTAAAATTAGTAAACAAATGCTTTAATAAACACTGTTGAAAATAGTGGATGCAGTTTAGAGCAGTCATTGATGTGTGTCTTGGGCTGATTCATCTAAGATAAAGAGTTGGTTGTTATTGAATGACAAATGGCACCTACAACAAAATACTAGAGTGTGAAATACCCTCTTTTCAGGATTCAAGCCACTAACCGCAGCCTCCCCCCAATGTTCTGTGGCCACTTAGCATACTGAGACCTTAATAAGATTTGTTAGCGTCTCTCTGTTTGGGGCTTTTTTCTAAGGATATTTCACACTTCTGCAAACCTTGCTGTTCTCTCAGGCCTACTGATTCCTTTGTTTAGTATATGGATCTCAGCCAGCATACCAGATGGAGCTGGTAGACAGCTGCCCTGGACACAGAGTTAACCTGCGCTTCCATGGACAGCTGTGAATCCAAAATTACTCCTAGGCTGTGCACCTGAAACTTCAGCAGCACATCCATTCAGGACCAGGGAGTCCCCCACACCTGCCCGTCTCCTAACTCCCAGAAACAGTACTTCTGTATTGTTGGGATTCAACCTCAATCCTAGTCTTTTACATCTGTTCAGATGCAAATTCAGATAGAGGAGGGTGACAGGGAAGAAGAAGAAGAGGAGGAGGAAGATTTTGGATTTGATATCCCGCTTTATCACTACCTGAAGGAGTCTCAAAGCGGCTAACATTCTCCTTTCCCTTCCTCCCCCACAACAAACACTCTGTGAGGTGAGACTTTTTGTTTTTCAATATGGGGACAAAGTAATATTGAATCACTCAATTAATGAATCGTTAAAGAGGGCTAATCATCAAGAAACTCTGCTACTAAATCAACAGCTCTAACAGAAACTTGGAGAAATGTAATTTGGAGAAATGGCAGTTCTCGGATGAACTTTCTTTTATTTGTTGAGTAAAGATAACATCTGAATGGATTTTCAGGTTTTGCTTCCAAAATATGCACTAAGTTTTCTCATGTCCTGGAAACTTGACAAAGCCGGGCATCTTCCAGAAGCAGTGTAAGACATTTCAGTCCAAACTTTTGGTGGTTCAGAATAGAGAGGCAGAGCCAGAGAATTCAGGAATTGCTGTATTACCCCCCCCCCAATGGGATGGGGCTGGCCATACCTTTGGTTGAACTAAAACAAAAAACAAACAAAAAAGTGTTCCTTTTTCTGTTCTTTGCACTGCACAACCTAAGATACCTTGTACCCCACTGCATTTCCTGCACAACTGTCAAATGCACCGAACAAGCATTTTTACACAAATAATTCGCCTGCATGCTGCATTTAGATCATTGCATATGACAGCAGCACACTTAGGTGATTTTTTTTGTTGCCTGGCCGTTATACACATGTGATGGTGCAGGCATGGGTTGCATGCCAATTCCGACTTTTCAGTAAGGATCTTGTGACAGGTGAAGCAGCCTTCAGATCTGCTCTCCTCAGGCAAAGATAACGAAACCTCTTTCAGGATTTTGACATTGCAATCGGTGAGTGGAAGTGCTTGAAAAGAAGAAGGGAGGAGGCGGCAGCAGCAGCAGCTTAGGTTACGCGGCGCTGGGAAGAGGTATATGGCGCTGGGAACTCTGGATAGGCCCAGGCTCCCAGCATCTCATCTCCGTAGGGAGAAACGTGCCTTTGCTTTTCTCCCTCAGAGCCTGGGCTTCGGCGCCTCGAGTAAGGGTCCAAGCTAGCCTCTCCTTCCCTTCGCGGCGCTGTGGCGAGGGTGCCACCCTTGGGTTGGGCAGCTGCGGCTGCTGCTCCGAAGAGCGCCAAGGAACTTTAATCAAACTTCTTTATTTTTAGCCTCGCTGAGACTCACTCGCTCCCCGTCCTCTGGGGACTCGAGAGCGGCGGCCGCGGGCTCGGAAAGTATCAGCCCGCAGCTTTGGGCTGGGCTCTCTTGGCGCTCGGCTCGTGGCACTCGCCGCCGCCGCCGCCGCCGCCGGTAACCGCCTGAAACGCCTTCATTCTTTCAGCCCGGAACGAGCGCGAGGGAAGCAGCCCCAGCCGCCGCTGCTCTCCCTGTAACAGCAGGCAATTAGCTTCGCGCCCGTTCGCTGAGGAAAGGCGGCAGGTCCGAGGCACCACGTCTCCCTCCCTCCCTCCCCCGGGCTCCGGCTCCGCCCCTCCTTTCCCTCAGCCGCTGCCCGGCGTGTGGTGCAGAGAGCGGCTTCGCGAGCGAACAAGCGGCTGGAGGCGCGACAGCACCGCCGCCAGCCGGAGCCGGGAGGCTTAGGCTGCGCTGCCTGCGAAGCGGAGCGAACTCCTCGACCCTCCTCCTCCTCCTCCCCATCCCGCCGTCCCCTCGTCAGGAAAGTGCGAGGAGGAGAAGAAAGGGGCGAACAAGAGCGAGGTAAGTGGAGGCGAGGCGGGGCGCGGGCGGCGAGAGATGCTGGCCGTGGAGGCTCGACGAGGCGACGCTGAGGGGAAAGAAGTTGAGGGGAAGGAGGCCGCGGCACGTGCCGCCCCGCCGCCGCCGGGTCTCGTTTGGGACCCGCATTGGTGAGCGCGGGGCGGCGCCGCCGGGGAAGCGCCCCAAGGTCAGCAGCAGGCGAGAGCTCCGGCGTCCGCGCGAACTGGGGCTCCACCCCGGCTCTCGTCTCCACTTTGTGGGAAGAAGTTGTGTGGAGCAAGTCGAGGAGGGGGTGGGGTGCGCAGGGGGGGGGGCCTCGGCCTTAGTGCGCAGGCGTAGGAGCGCGAGACCTGCCCGGGAAGGTGGCAGCGCGCGGTGCCCCTCTGGAGAGCCCGAGGGGCACGGAGGGAAGCGGAGCCAGGCACCGGCGGCTGGGCGTGGGGAAGAGGCGCTGAAGACGCCCGGGGCGCCGTCTCTGCACCCTCCTGGCAGGAGGCGCAGGCTGGCACAGGTGTAGCAACAAAAGGAAACTTTGCCCCTGCTGCTTTGATTGTACTCGGCCCTCCTTCCCAGCAGCTGAAGGCACTTTGTAGGATCTTAGCCCCTATTTCCCTTCCTCCAGAGCCTTTTGCCATAGGCTGGCTTTTTGAGAGACTGGTTTGCCCAAAGCTACCCAGGGAGCGCAGGAATTTTAACCAGGGTGCCCTCTAACCACTATACCGGGCTGACAGTCAACAGGCTAAGGAATTGCAGTAGCTGAAATCCTCAGAAATTAAGAGACCTTAGAATAACCGTGCACTCATCCAAACAGGGTTATTGGGGTACTGTAAGGAACATGGATGAGTTATTTTGGGAGAACTCTGTCATAATGCACTGGCTCTTTCTGCCTTTCTACTCCTGCCCGCTTAGTGCCACTGATAGTTGTACTTCTGACATCTATTTAGCACCAGCCATATCCCAGGCAGGCTATAGGGCTCTGATAGGTGCTGCCCAAGGTATATTAGACCAGTATGATAAGAAGGGATGGGAGCAAAGGCATAACGCATGCACATGGCACGTTACCAGAAGCACAGTCGTGATTGGGATATTTGTCCTGACACTCTCAAATGCTGAGTTGGCGTGCTGCAGGCTTGGCTGCTTGTAGGAGTTCTTTGTACAGGAGTGTGGTGTGGTCGATAGTATTTGTGTAAAATCCTTGGGAAACATGTAGATTAGGCATTCTGTCAATGCAGTAGCATATATTTAAACAGGATCATATAAGCCCTCGCTGCTTCATAAACCTATATGACTATATTTTACTGTTATATATTAGAACAAGCACGAAACATGCTAACTGGAAGCATTTACTTCTTTTTATTGCCTTGAGGGTGTATAGAGATACACACGTTTTTGGATGAAGTTTTGCTAAATCATTCTGGCTTTTGAATGAATGCCAGCTTTTATAAGCCTATCTGAAATAATAATCATTCTAACGTATCGTTTGATCTGACAATCCTATTATAAGGATATGGAAATTTCTGTATGGACCCATTTATATATGAATGCATGTGTGTTTGAGTTGGTGAATGTGTCTATAAGTGGCCTTTATATATTAGCACAGTTTGTGGAGAACTGTGTTTCTTGACATAGTATCGTTCGGTTGCTTGATTAGACTGCTTGCCAAAAAGCTTTCTGCCATGACAATATCGGCCACAGCATCTGTAGAGAAGACAATTTGTGGATTCATCTGACACAGAGACACTGGTCAGTCATTGACTCGTGCTTTCTGCTAGTGGTAGTCACTGTTCAGCGACAACTTGGTGATGAACTTGAAATGCTTTTAACTTTTCCCTCATTTCCGTCTTCTCCTGTAAAGCAACACATGATTGCAATTTCCTGGGGGGAAAGCATTGGAAAAGTCAGAAAAGCAGGCACATTGTTTTGCATTTGGCATGTGAACCTTTAAAATCCTCTTTTAAGCAGAGTTTTAAAATTGCCCTTCTCACTGCTTCTTAAGTTATTGATAATAAGTGAGGCGTGCAGTGCGTTGTGTCTGTTTCTTAATACACACATCCACTAATTCAGTAGACAGGCTGTGCTACTCAGCATTTACACTCTGTGAAATGAAAAGGGTACTTGATTTTTCTTTTTGAAAGAAAAAAAATTGCCCTTTCAAAATGTTGTGTGTCTGAAGCAAGGCCTTAGAAGAGTTGCATAATAACTAAGATAATGCAATTTTGTTGCCACCTCGCTGGGTTGCCTGTTGGGCTCACCACTATAAAACTGAGAATTGCTGATTGGCTAATTACAGCATTTTTATGGTGATTTGTCAGGAAAGAATTGTGAAATAGCCTGTATCTCAAGTGCGGCTTGGCTGTTCTTCCTGCTACCACCCTCATTTAACTCAAATCAAGATAGATATGTCTTCCAGAAAAAGTGTTTATGGGGATAAAACTAGTAAATATATTCTGATAATAATGAAATATTCACATCAAACTGATGAACTTAATAGTTGTCTGTTGCTGCTGAAACTGGCTTCAGAGTTCATTAACAAGTTCTTATGTACCTCTACTTACGAACTTAATTCATTCCGGAGGTCCGTTCTTAAACTGAAACTGTTCTTAACTAGAGGCGTGCTTTCACTAATGGGGCCTCTTGCTGCTGCTGCTGCGCCACTGGCACATAATTTCTGTTCTCATCCTGGCACAAAGTTCTCAACTTGAGGTAACTCTTCCAGGTTAGTGGAGTTTGTAACCTGAAGCGTTTGTAACCTGAGGTGTAACCTGAAGCGTTTGTAACCTCGAGGTACCACTGTAACACAAAAACTTTAAGCATCTAATCACCATTAAATTTAAGCATTGCTATATTGGTGATAAATGTTTTCATTTTACCATTATGATACTTTGTTCTGTAGACATCTGACCCTTTAGATCATAATTATTGGTAGACTTGAAAGACAAATACTGGTATCTTTAGCAAAGTCATTCTTCAAGTCTTCACATAAAGAACTTATTGTTCATTTCATAAACCATGACTTCAATACTTCTTCCAACAGTTTCAGATCTTATGTCAGTGAATATCCATTCTGAATTTATATAGCGGTGAATTAACTTCATTATGTGAAGCATATCTAAGATATATATCTCTTGTTTCTGACATATAAAGCCATTGGCAACTTGTAAATCTGGGCTAATCAAAGAATGACTCAATTTTGCACATTACTGGTTAGCAATGATTTTTCATGAAGAGTAAATATTTTGGAGAGATGACAGAATAAGATGTGCTTGTTTATTCATTTCTGTAGACAAACATTTCATTGAACAACATTAGTCTTCTGCTTACCGTAATTATGGAGGGGAATTCCTGAAATCACCAGTCACTATAATTACCAGTTTTCATTAAATGTGCTGAATATAATTGCTCAAAACTGGCTGTCTTATGATATCATAAAAGTTTCAGTCCTACTCTCTGCCACTATCTTACTTTCTCCTACAGTTGGGCACTGAGTCAAAATAGTCATTCGGCTTGTTACAAGCCAAGAGAAGAAAATTAATTTACATGCTGAAAAGAATGCTTTGCTTATATAAAGGTCACTGAACACAACAGTATTTATTGTGCTTGGACCCTGAGGGTATCCTGAAAACCATTCCAGTGTTTATAAATATACTCAATATGGAGCCAAAGCCTAATGTCTGAAGTCCGTAATTGTACAGTTTGGAACAGGGCTAAGGAATTTCAGGCTGGATGTGTGGATAAATGTGCCCCCCACAATCCTTTCTGTCCAGCCTTTGGGACTCCTAGGCCATGCCCCTCTCTCCTGCCCATGGTACTCCCTGGCCCTGCTCTTCATTCTCCTTGAGTATTTTTGCCTGACTGTCAAGCATCCTTGAAATGGTGATGTCTCTTCCTTGTCTGGATGGAAGCTGGAGGTGTGTGGGTGTAGGAACCGCTGACTTTTGCATGACTGGAATGTAGTCACGTTCAAAGATAAGAATCACATCTGTTGCTCTCGCCACTTTGGGTTCTGGCTGCCTTCACTTTTGCCATTGGACCTACCCATCAATGACATATGGCTCCCGAAAGGTTATCCATGAGAAAATGTGGCCCCAAGGCTGATAAAGGTTCTCCAGCCCTTGTTTAGAAACTGATACAAAATTTAACATCAAAACCAACTTTTATTTACCTTAACTGAAATAAGAATAGGTTAAAACTTCGAATTTGCATTATAAAATGCTTCCAATTGCAATATGAAATCCTGTAACAGGTTTTGTTATCTTTGCCCAACAAGAAGTGACTTAAGGCTAGCAAGTGAGCAAATTAAGAAATTTCAACTATGATATTTCAAATATTTCTTAACAGTCAAAGAAAAATATGAAACTGTATAACTCAAAAGCATTATAAATAAAACCCACATTTTAAATATACCTCTTATTTGATAGAAATATGCATTTACAAATAGTTTTAGTTAACTTGACTAATTCTCTGCTGCATGTACTGCTTTTGTTGACATTGGCTTTTGATACAATTGATATATTGATAACTTTGCATTTAGTTCTTTGTTGGGGAAGACAAGAAAGTAACAGAAAATGTGGAAACACTGTGAAAATAATATTCAACATTAGGGTAGTAGTTGTTTTGAGAAACAAAATATTGAAAGTAGTTTCTGCATTGCAGAGAGCATTTTCCATTTCTACCAATATGTTGAAGACATAAAACAGATTAAAATATAAGTAGCTGAACTGAGGACAGGAGATCCTGATGAAAACTGCTTATCATCAAGTTGGTGGGGAACAGTGACCTATTCAGTCTTGCCTGTGTTCCACTTGAAATGCATATTTTGTGAGAGAATATGCTCAAAATACACATTTAAATGTAGTTTTTCATGCTGGCCAAAGAAAAGCTCTCCGATTAATGTGAAAATGAGACAGAGAGGATTTGTGGATGAACACATACAAAAGTGACATGAACTGGAAATAGCTTGATCTATCCACCTCTACTTTCAACACTCAGAAAATACTATA